GCTTTGCTGAGAAGTCTTCCAGACACACTGTGGCCTATGGGCTGAAGATGGATGCCCCAACATTACAGAAGAACTTCAGGTGACTGTCCAGGCAGCAAGATGTCTGTCAATCCTAGTGTTTACATATTATCCTTCTGTGGTCTTTGATGGAGTTGAAGACAGATAGTTATAATTATAGTTTTCCTTAGTTATGATAAAAGATAAGCTACATATAGGACTTTGGACTCACAAGAATGAGATAGATGATATTTTCTTTAAATCTTGCTAAATGTTGATAGACAAAATATTGTCACTATGTTCTTACTTGATAACTGTTCTTTTATATATAATTTGACTATGTTAAAGTTAAGACCTTTCTTTTTGTTTAGACAGAAAAGAGGAGATGCTGTGGGAAGTCCTGTGATTATGTCAATAAAGCACTGTTGGCCAATAGGAAACTAGATAGGTGGGACTAGGAGTCCAGGAGGACTCTGGGTAGAAGAAACACAGAGAGTCAATATGTAACGCCCTGGGGTAGGAAGCCCGGAAACTTCTCCGGTAAGAGAAATACTTAGATTAACAATTGTGGGGTAGTTACTTAAGTCAGAGCTAGCCAGTAAGAAACAAGCAAGGCCAACAGCTTCATAATTAATATAGCCAGGATCATTTGTGTTTATTTGGGATTGATGTGGCTCTGGAACCAGGCTGCCGGGAAGGCTTCTCTTTACACTGGTGGGACTACAAACTTGTGTAGCAACTTTGGAAGTCAGTATGGCGGTTTCTCAGGAAAATGGGCATCAGTCTACCTCAAGACCCAGCAATTCCACTCTTGGGCATATACCCAAAGAATGTACATTCATACGACATATGTTCAACTATGTTCATAGCAGCATTATTTGTAATAGCCAGAACACGGAAGCAACCTAGATGGAATCTTGGAATTCTCAGGCAAAAGGAAAGAACTAGAAGAAACCATCCTGAGTGAGGTAACACAGTCACAGAAAGACAAGCATGGTATGTACTCACTCAATATGGATTTTAGACATAGAGCAAAGGACTACCAGACTACTATTCACATCACCAGAAAAGCTAGGAAACAAGGAGGACACTAAGAGAGAAATGCATGGTTCCCTGAAGCAGGGGAAAATGACAAGATCTCCTGAGAAAATTGGGAGCATAAGGGAGGTGGGAGAGAGGGAAGAAAAAGAGAAGGGAAGAGAAGAAGGGGGAGGAGACAAGAGGGATCAGAAAGACTGAGTCAGAGGAGGAATAGAGGACATCAAGAAAAGAGATACTATAATAGAGGGAGCCAGTATAAGTTTAAAGAGAAATATGACACTAGGGAAGTGTTCAAAGATTCACAAAGATGACCCCACTACCCAACTAAGAATCTAGGCAGTAGTGGAGAGGTCTTTGATGCCCTTTCCCTATAATGAGACTGAAGACTACCTTAGTTGCCATCCTAGAGGCTTCATCCAGTAGCTGACAGAAGTAGAAGCAGGCACCCACACCTAAGTACTGAGCCATACTCCTGGAATCCAGCTGTAGAGAGGGAGAAGAGATGAGCAAAGGCATCAAGACCATGCGGGAGAAACCTACAGAAACAGTGACCTGACCTAGTGAGAACACAGAGACCCTCATCATAAAGCTGGGGAACCAGAATTGGACCAAAACAAGCCCTCTGAATGTGGGGCCCAGTTAGGAGGCCAGGGCAGTCTATGGGACCTCTAACAGTGGAACCAGTATTTATCCCTAGTGCACAAATGGACTTTGGGTTCCCATTCCCTATGAAGGATAATATTTCAGCCCAGATTCGTGGAGGAGGGCCTAGGCCCTCCCCCAAATGATGTGACAGACTTTGATTATCCCCATGGAAGGCATGGGGAATGGATGGAGGGTGGGATGGGTGGTCAATGAGGGGCATAGGATAATGGGAAGGAGATGGGGGATTGATATGTAAAATAAGATTGTTTCAAAAAATTAAAAAAATGTTTAACTTTGCAATGTTGTGCTTCATTTGTTTAACTATGTAAAGTTGTGTTGCTGTTTCACTTTGTCTGCCTAAGACACCTGATTGATCTTATAAAAAGCTGAGTGGTCAATTACTGGGCAGAAGAGGGATACGCAGGGCTGGTGAGTAGAAAGAAAAGGGTAGCCAGTCAGCTATCCAGTGACCCACCAGCCAGCCAGGGGCCAGTCAGCCAGCTCAGGGATAGACAGCCAGCTGAGGGACAGACAGACAGACGGACAGAAAGGAAGCAGGAAACCAGGATGGACAGTACATAGTAAACGAACCTCAGAGCAGCACATAGATTACTAGAAATGGGTTAATTTAAGTTGAAGAAAACCTAGGCAGAAACAAGCCTAAGCTAAGGCTGAGAGTGTTCATAATAAGTCTCTGTGTCATAATTTGGGGGCTGGTGATCCAAGAAAGGCTGCTACACTTGGATACTTAAAAACATTGTCATGTGTCTTGAAGAAAACCTGAATTTTTAAAACAGCCTGTAATAGCCCACCCATCTGATTTTTTAAAGGCATAAATGTGGACTTCACAATTCACAGAAGGCACAAGAGAAGTACATTTGCAGAGAAACCTACCCTTCATGTGGAATACTGAAACGTTTCCTTGAGGATTTAATAAAGAAAATTGTGTTCCTTTTCCCCGCGTACATTATTATTTCCAAGATATTGCCTTTTATGAGTAATGTCAAGCGGAAATTATTTTATGTCTACCCAGCAGTCTTTGGGATGTAGAGAATATGACCACAACAAATAAATTATAAAGGCAGGATGCAAAGGTAGTGATTTCTGATTAGGAACAGACCAGGTCTATAATAACTTTCTTATCTTCCTTTCTATCCATTTTTTTTTGCGCATCCCAACTAACCAAAGAATAAAAAGCCTCTGTATGTGTGGGCAGAGTTCTCATTAGGCAGGCTATGCTGTGTGTGTGTGTGTGTGTGTGTGTGTGTGTGTGTGTGTGTGTGTGTGTGTTTCTTAGACTAATACAATTATAATCCCTTCAAGAGTTTTCTACAAAAGAAAAGACCATTACTATATCCAGGATAATGTTCATAGCTACTGCTCTGTATTATTGGGTTGACCAAATAGGTAGGTATTATTTTTCTCCTTCTATACCAGTAATTCATGTTAGGGCAATAATTATGACCTATTCTTGCCTTATTCTTTCATATTTTCTTCATGTTTCCCCACAACTACTTTATACATAGGACATGTTTATTCAAAGGTAACCACAGGAAATTCAAGCTTTTCTCACACATCTAATACATTCCCCAGGAGCTGAGGAGCCATTTACGCTCTAATGTACAGAAGGTAGCTAATGTAGCAAGACCTTTAGACTTGATCCAGTCTTCCTTGTATTTTTCTGATCAAATCTCACAAACACTTTATATTTGTATCTCTGGAACAGAGATGATATTGATGTTCCCAGTATATTTTTACAGGGCCACCACAGGGATCAAATAGAATCAACATCCTCTTTTTTCCAGGCAACTCAGTTCCCTATGACATAAAGTGTTAGGAGCAGACTTCAATGGAATTACTCAATGTGAATATGTTTTAGAAACTATAAAATACTGTGAATAGCTCAAGTTATTAGCAATGATCCTTGTACTAATAATAATTATACACTGAACCTCCCATGCCTTCCTGGATGTATGGATATCTATAATATTTTAAATATGAATGTTTCCTGGTATCTTACTCTTTCCAACCAAACTGGAGAAGTATTAGACAACAGTGTCCTACCAATAAGCACCTGATAAGATTGTGCTTACTGACACTGTTATAGTAGCACTGCCATTAGGAAGAGTGAGATCCTGTATAATGGATTCCTTACACTCCTCTCTCTATTGCCTTGATATGAAACAAGACAAATTACTCTATGTGTTTTGTTGAAATTCTATTAAGCAGGAATTATGGTCCCAAGGAAAATATGGGCACTATAAAGCCATGAGCAAAAATGCCCTTGTAAAGAAGGAAGGTATTTGGAGAATGAACAAAATTCCTATTGATGACCAGCTTCTCAGCTTATTAAAATACCATGAGTATGACAGAAGCTGTATGCCATATACACAGGAAGTATAAAGACTAGATAAAAATAACCTACTTATGGCAGATGGTAAGCAACTCTAAATGTTTACTGTGTGGGACATATATGTATATATATACATATATATATATATATATATATATATGAATACTGTTAGTTCCAATGGCAGCTAAGCCTTAAAAGATTGACAAGAATGGATTATTTTGACTGACTTATGCAAGGAGATGGAAATGAACATATAAATATGAACAAATCATACCCCATCAATATTTCCACTGAGGAATTTAAGCATGATCCTTCCTATTTATGCTTTTGTTGAAAGTTCTTCAGATTTAGCCTTTGAGGTTTCTGATTCCCCCCTTACCTTTGTATTTTTGGAGTGGTGTGAGTCTGTGTGTGTGTGTGTGTGTGTGTGTGTGTGTGTGTGTGTGTACATGCATGTTCTCCTACAGCAGTAGATTAATTTTTTCTCTGTTAGTTATGACAAATATACTCTTTCTACACCTCTCTCCCTTATTATATACTCTCTAAATTGGTTAACTCATCTAATAGCCTGCTGGGAAGAATTCTTTCTGAAATAATGAATTTCTTCTGAAATAATGAAGCTGTGATCAGGAGTGAATGAGTCAGGACCAGCTTTTTCTATGCTTCTTGAAAGATAGCTAAGGAAGTACCATTTGGCCAAATATATATTTTTTCTAAAGGTGGTAATGTGCGATTCACATAAGTTATAACTAAAAACAGGCAACATTGGCTGCTGCTTTGAGTAACTCCCTAGATCACATAATCTGTTATTTGTTAGCATGAGGACTTCACTGTCAATGAAGATAAACAAGCAAAACCCCATGATATTCTTGGAGTACTGCACTGCTGTTGAGTGGGAACTGAGCTTTATGTTTAATAACATTTGTCTGTGCTGTATTTCATTTTCTGTTCTCTCTTCTTTTAGGTTAACAATACATGCTGAATGTCCTATGCATTTGGAAGATTTCCCCATGGATGTGCATGCCTGCCCACTTAAATTTGGAAGCTGTATGTATTTTCTGAGTTTTGTTTACCTGATTTGCTTCTAGAAGAAATTCAATATATTCTACTTTGTTCCTGAGAAGTTCCTAGTACTGAATTGAGTCTTTGTTGGTATGGAATAGGTCAGGAGAATGAGGTCAAATAGTACTAAGTGATCAAGACTAGTAGACTTGGCTTATAACAGTTTTCTTTCCTTAAGAAACCAACTGCATTCCAGTATTTTAGAATAATTTCAGTCATTAGCTGGAAACAGAAACATCTGTCCTTTTCAAGAAGACAGAGCTAGGGCTGAAAAAGAATTTTGGCTTCCTAAGGACAAGATAATGCATCATTTTTAAAAATGTTCATTCTCTCTGCATCTCCACTTACTATCCATTTCCCAACAAAAATGGTAAATAGGAGGGACAGCTGTGAAGATTTCCTCATGTTTTAGAGTACTGTCTTTCTCATGTGCTGTAACTCTTATAGAGAAGACAGTATATTGCATTTTCAAATGAATTGCAGATATCAAAATTGAATATATTTGAGAGCAGTTTTGAACATAAGAATATTGGAGTAAGTTATCAGAAAAACATATGAAGATATGTGTTGATCACATCTGAATGATATTGAAATAGAAAATATTTGAAAAGTCTCAAGTAATTGTATATGACATATTTTATCAATTATTAATTTGTCAAATATTTAAAGATCATCTCTTGTAACAGCCTCTATCCTATGAGCTTGGAATGCATTCATTAATAATCCATTTGAACCTGTAGTAATTTAGAAAAGATATTATTGTTACAAAGATAAACAAATAACACAGAATTTACAAGACATGGAGAAAGATCTTGGATGCTATTTTATACAAAATATATGTATATATAAAGTCCAGATGGATTGGAAATCTAAGTAAAGGAAAAGAGGCTATCAACTTCAGGAGGGACATTAGAGGAGTTTGAGGGAGGTTTGTTTGGGAGGGTCTAGAAGAAGACTATCTGGGAGGGACTGAAGGAGGAAAGTAGTGCAATTCTATTTCAATTAAAAATGTTTTAGAAAATCAGAACTTTTAGATGAAAATGTAAGAGGATGTCTTTGTTAATTGGAGAAGGTAGACTTCAATTAAACAAATGCATAACCTGAAACCAGTAAGATATCTGGGATATCTTAAATATTAAGGGTTTCTATTTATCAAAATATCACTAAGAGAGCAAAAAGGCAAGATGAGAATGGCAGAGTGTGGAAGTACAAGCTTATAACTTTAGCACTCAGGAATTTGAGCCAGAAGGACTGATGTGAGTTAGAGGCCAGTCTGTGATACATAGTGAGGTCCAGGATGCTTGGGTTATAAATATGCTGTCTAAACAAAATAAACAGAGCAAACAAACAAAAACAAAAACAAAAAGACACTAAGAAAGCTTTTAATAGGATGGGGAAATATTTGTGCTATATATAATTTGTATTGTGACAAAATGCCCAAATACATAAGACACTCTGTAAGTCTCTAAGAAACAATCAATAACATTAGGATGTATCTGCTTCTTTCTCTCATATGGACTTACTGAATGGTTGTTGACTATTTTAGCAAAGTAAAAATTCAAATCCAAAATGTACCACCACATATTCAGTAAAGTAGCTATAATGAAAAACTCGGGAAATTCCATACATGGGTGAGGTTTTAGAGCAACTCTGTAGTCTCCTGAGCCATGATGAGAATATAGATTTATAGAAAGTTTAGGGGAAATTGTTTGATCACACCTTATATTACTGAACACATACATATGAAAATTTTGTATTCTTGCCATCAGTATATAAATGTTTATGTTTATCAATATTCATATAAATGGAAGATATAGCAGTACTAGTTGTAATATGCTCACACTGGAAACTTCCTCGGGTCCCATCAAGATGGATTAAAAATATGTGGTATACTCACACCAAAATACAATAGCATTATGGCAATTATATTGCTTTAATAACATGATAGATAACTGAGAAAAGCCACATATCTAAGTACATTTGCAGCATGGTTCTGTTTCTGTTATATGTAAAACAGGGAATATTAATCTGTGATAGAAGTCATCAGTATCTGATGTATAATTGCTCTTGATATTTCCAAATACCTGATATGAATACGGGATTAAGATTAATCCTATTAGTTAGGTTTGATATAGTATAGGATTAATATGTTAGATGTTACAAATCATATGAATTTAAATAGAACTAGAGTCACAGATCAAAATTCACTGTTTTACTTCCAAAATCTGTTATCTCTTGGGAGAATACCTTCAGTGTTTGCTTATACTTTCCTAGTGTTCTAATTTCATTTCAGTTACTATGATAAAGTACCCTGACAAAAATAACTTGGGATTAAAAGTTGTTCGTTTACCTATGGGGCCCTGAGCAGTGGATCAGTGTCTATCCCTGGAATACAAACAGACATCGTGTGTCCATAACACAAAGAGGGATGATCTCTCAGCCTGGACTCTTAGGGGAGTGCCTAGACCCTACCCTGAGTGAAATGGCAGACTCTAGATATCCCCTATGTGGAAGGAATTGGCAATAGGGTGGAAGGCTGGGGGTGGTGGGGGGGTGAGGGAGGAGGGGAGGGAGAGGGAACTGAGATAGACATGTAAAAAATAAAGAGAAAAAATAAATAAAATAAAACAAACAAGAACCTCCCCCAAAATGGTTCGTTTAAGTTTACAATTCCATGTTATAGTGTAGTCTCGTGAGGTCAAATTGGGAACTTCAATCAGGTAGTCATATCACATCCATAGTTAAGAGCACAGAGAAATGAACGCATGTATGATGACTCATTTGCTTGTGCCAAGCTCAGTTCATCCATAAATATAGTCCCAGAAACCTTGCTAGGAAATGTCACCCATAGTGGGCTGAATCACCTCACATTAATTAAGACAATCCCCCACAGACATGCTGTTCTTGTTTGCTTTATACTGCTATGATAAAACATTCAGAGCCAAAGAAACTTGGGAATAAAAGAGTTTGACTTATACTTCCAGATCACACTCTATCATCGGGGGATATTAAGGTAGGAAGTCAAGTAGAAACCTAGAGTCAGGAATTAGATGAAAGAGAGGTCATGGAGGAATACTTCTTACTGTCTTGTTCCTCCTGGCTTCCTTAGCTACCTTTCTTGTATAACCCAGGACCACTTGCCTGGGATGGCACTACCATAGTGGGCTGGGCCCTCCTACATTAATCATAACTAAGAAAATGCCTAATATGCTTGGCTTGGGCCAATAGAGAGAGGCATTTTCTCATTTGAGATTTCCCCTTTCCAAATAACTGTAGCTTATGTCAAGTTGACAGAAAATTAGCCAACACACGTGCCCACAGAAAAGTCCAATGTAAACATATAATTCTAGATTGTATGAAGTTTACAGTTTAAAATAACCATAACTACACTACACCACACACATGCACACACACACACACACACACACTTTTGAAAGATAATTTGTCTCTAGCAGCATGTAGTACTAAAGGCACAACACATATTTATATTAAAGTTAAGTGATCAGATTGTGTGCTAACTAGTTTTATGTCAACTTGACACAAGTTAGAGTTATCTAAAAGGAGGGAACCTCAATTTATAAAACTTCTTCATAAGATCTAGCTGTAGGGCATTTTATTATTTAGTGATTGATGGAGGGGTCCTAGCCCATTGTGGGTGGTATCATCCCTGGACTGGTGGTCCTGAGTTCTATAAGAAATCAGTCTGAACAAGATAGGGAAGCCAGAGAATAAGCAGCCCCACTCCGTGGCCTCTATATCTGCTCCCACCTTCAGGTTCCTGTCCTATTTGAGTTCCTGTCCTGACTTCTTTGGTAATGAACAGTAATGTAGATGTGTAAGCTGAATAAACCCTTTACTCCCTAACTTGCTTTATGGTCATGGTGTTTCAATGCAGTAACAGAAACCCCAACTATGACAAATTGGTACCAGGAGTGGGGTATTGCTGTGACAGACATGACCGTGTTGCTTTGGGGAATGATTGTGGAAGGACTTTGGAGCTTTAGGCTAGAAGAACCATTGAGTGTTAAGAGCTCTGTGATATGCTCCATTGGGGTTTGGAAGAACGTTAATAGCAGTGCAGAGGATGGAGGTCTGGCTTGTGAATATTCAGAGGGAAGTTTAAAGACTCTATTGAAGCAATTTGTTATTTTGAATTAAGATCCTGTGGCTCTTGTTAGCTGAAGCTGAATAGTAAGCTGTGATTAACAAGATATGAGAACTACTAAAGCAGAACTTTGCTTTGCCGGGATAGTTGATGTTGGTTAGTTGAAGCTAAGAAATTAGTGGTGATTAAGGAGAGACCAGTATAATTGAGGTGAAATCTTCTTGAAAGGGTTTCCTGAGAGCACAGAGAAGCTGTATGCTAGAGGTGGCCAAAGTTGTACCTTGTGCTGGTAGCCAGACTTGGTAACATGTAAGAGTCACCCAGGTGGTACTGATTTTGGAAGCAGGAAGGGGTGGGTCATGGAGAACAGTTAAACCTTGGCACTGTGAGAGGAAAGGATAGGTCATTGGTGAAGGAAGGTGCAGCCTCAGTGGCGTAGGACTGAAGGGGTCATGCAGAGAATTCAAGTCTTGGCACCATGAAGTGAGCTACTTGTGAAAGTGCAGCCCAGTTGCAGCAGAAGACCCCAACATTTCATAGATGCCAGTACCTTGGGATAACCACCAAGAACAGCAGCAACAGTGGAGAGCCTGCCCGAGCTTAGAAGATGAGATGTGTGTGCTGCAGAGGATCGAACTGGAGAAGTGACCTGAGCCCTTTGGAGGAGCCCAGATGAACGTGAGAAAGTCCAGTCATTGGACGTAGCATTATTTACACTGTTGGGAGTTTGGTTTCACTTTGATTGGATTGTGACTATACCCTGGTTCTTTCCTCTTGAAGTAAGAAAGTATTTAATGTTTTTTTTTATTTTAATGGAGCCCAAAGTTGAGAAAGTGAACTTAAAGACGTCAGATTTTAAAACAGATTGGCTATTTTAAAG